TCACCAGCAGCAGCCTCAGCAATGGCTGCACGTTGTCCTTCCTTCGCCTTGAGCATCCGCGTAACCCCACCTCTGGCTGTATTGATTGCCTCTATGACGAGGTCGTGGGTCTTGATACTCAAAATAGAGGTGCCAAGGTAAGAGGGGGTGTTCGGGGTAGCTTCGTCCTCCTCATATTCGATAACTCGCTTGCATTCTCTTAGCAGCATCCCAAGACCTAGGCTAACCCCCATGGCTGATACCAAGCCAGAGATCTTGGCAGAGACGACTATCTCCAAGAACTTGTTCAACTCACGCTCGTCTGAGTGCACACTATTCGGAAGGTGTGATCTGTCCCAACTCCATGTCGCCCAAGCGGGCCATTCCATTGCCTCAGAGCTTTGTTCCTGCGTCAAGTGAGTATCAAGTTTCACCAATCCAGGTATTAATCGAAAACGTACCTTTTTCAAGTCACCAAGACGCGAAATCAAAAGCAGATATTCGTCCTGGCTGCTGAGAGACCGTAAGAATGACATCCGATCTTTCTTTGGCACAGTGGCTGGTGTGCGCACGACTTCTTGACCAACTGATGGTCGCTTAACCAGCCCTTTCGATGGAGTGAGATTATCATCAGAGCTATCCTCGGAGCTGTCCTGGGTTTGCGGTCTTGAATTCTTGGTGGGCCTTGTGCTGGCCTTGGGCTTGGAGGACGCCTTAGCCTCGGCCAGCTGTCTTGTACGTTTCGTGGATGTAGGCGCAGCTGAAGCCTCCTCTTCATCATCAGTGTCGACTGGTACATACTTCTTTTTAGATTGTTTCTCGCCTACATAAACAGCATTGACGAGCAGGGACTTGTTCATGTGGGAACTCACGGCCCCGACCAAAAATAACCAGTTTCTGTTTCGAAGCCTTCCTGGCTTCCCAATGGCCCCAAAGATGGTTTATTCCTGCGCCTTCAAATGAGACGGGTCTTTGCACGACGAAAACCCTCAGGGATGGAGTCTGGATCCAGGTACACCAAAAGGTTTGCCGGCAATCGAGAGCCAAGGTACTGGCTTTTTGCTACCAGTGAAGACTTCTGAAAAACGGAAATTGAGTCAAGTTAAAATCAACAGATGAAGTGATCAGCGACTCACTGTAAGATGCATGAAAAATTTGCGAACCAATTCTTGTTGCCCCTTGAGGCCCACTCCTTACGGGAAGGGAGCTTTGCAAACCCGTGCTCAGTCCAAGATGACTTCAGGTATCGCATCTTTTCCATCTTTACTGTCTTCATCGGACGAAGTCACATCATCATCATTGGTGGGGGTCTGATACGCGGTCATTGAGCAGTCTGAACCAATCCCCAAAAATACAGAACTTACAGAATTCTTCCTTCGACCACTCGGCAAATTTTTCAAAACCTTCGGACGTCCACTCTTTGCTTCCTCGAGAACTCAGGCTAAACGGTTTCTTGTGATTGACAGGCTGAGACTCATGACTGAATAACAATAAAATTGTTATTTTACCCTGAGGAGAGTGGATAAATACTCACATCTTGACACTTAAAGTCTGATCGGCATTTTTCTTGTGACTGACTAACATCACGACTCGGCAACCCATAGAACGCCTTATCTGTTCTGTAAAATCGTCGAGAACTTTTTTGAGGCTTTTCTTTCGATACCTATCAATGTTGTTATAGTAGAAATTGAAAAAAAAGGCAATTTACATCGCCTGTGCTTCTGCTGGGGCACCTTCCCTATTCCACTTGTCCCTCGCCTCCTCAACTTCCTTCTGATGTGCAGAGGTCATGTTGTTGAACCACTCCCTCGCATGTCCAGTCCTATACTTAATAGAATGTTGCACGCCTTTCTTCTGTTGCTGCTCCTTATCGTAGTCGTCCATCTCCTGCTTGAAGAGTTTCTGCGCGACGTCCCAAGCATTAAGCTCCTTCTTGTAGAACCCTGCGTCCTTAGGACGAGCCGCCAATTCTCTGTCCTCAGGGGACACGCCAGATGGTTCTTCCTCCGGCTCATCACCCAAGACCTCTTGCTCAGCACGTCGATCATCAGTGTCCGTTAAGAACTGGAGGTAGTACCTCCTGATAGCCTATATAACAATTATATCAGTATCATTATATACTCAACAAAACAGTACCTTTTTCAATCCCTTTGGTAAATCCTCGGAATCCTGTCTTGTACGATGAATTGCGACAATTTCATTGCGGATCTGTCTTAGGAGATTCTGACGGGAATTCTTCCCATTTACAAACTGATCTTTGTGGAGAGTCAGTACTCCCTCCCAAGAAGCATACCATTCAGCCATTGATGACAAGAAAACGTAAGTCAGGAGCTTTTGGTAAGGGTGAGTATGCGTCGTGTAACCTTAGACCAGGCCGAAGAGTTGAAATTTTGAAGGAGACGCGATCACGTGCATGCAAACCAAGACGCGTCATTACGAAATCACACGTGTGACAAAGTGATACCTCAATCAATTCAAATTATGTACAGTGTCAAGTAAATACATAATTTACTTGCGCGCCTTCTTTGCAGTCCCAGGAGACGCTGTCTCATTCTTGCGCTTGCCTTGGGTAGAGTCAGGTAAAGACTGAGATACAAAATGAGTAGAAGGCGACTTGAACCAAGCGCAGTTCTTGGTCCTGGCATTGTTGATGATGGACCCAGGAGGCTTGGTGACAGAAAACTTGTAGCACGGCAACTTTTGCGTGCTACCACAGTTGGTGTACTTGCATGTGTAGATGTACTGGCAAACAGAGCCTTGGGCTGAGGCGTGCGCGTCGCGATTCTCATCAGAAACTGTCACAGCAACCCTCTCACCCCAGCTCTTGGTAGAGCCACATTGGGGGCATTGCGCAGGAATAGGAACGCCCCAAGGCGAAGTCTGAGTGTGAGCGCGCGCGAATGTAGTGAGTTCCAGCTTGCAGCAACCATCAATGTTGACGGGAGTCATCAGGATGACGCTGGTGTGTTGACCGAGACCGCCTGACATACTAAGGAGGGTCGGAAATACAGTGCGGATGCTGAGTTGCTCAATCGCAACAAGTTCCGCCATGGCGACCAAGAAATTAGTGGCGACAAGGGGTTGAAAGCGAGCTGCGGAAAAGAGAATTGCAGATGCGAAGTTGAATTGAAGAACGGACTCCTTGAGCTGAGTGTAGGGCGTCTTGTATGCCACCACAGAACCGCAGACCAGGAAGACGATGTGTGCGGACTTGAGGATCCTGGCGTAGGGCTTCAACACTGTGGAGAGAACCTAGAATAGATTAATTAATAATATTGAAGCGTCAAAATTTTAAAACTTACATGCTGAACTTCCATCGCAACATACTCTCCCTCACCTCGACCCTCCTTCCCTGCATAGAGCCAACCGCTGTCTTCTTCCGAATGGTTGGAGAGAAACGCAAAGACCCGACCAGTTGAGCCAAGGTGACGGACGAGCTTAGCAACCGTTTCGACCTGGTCGCGGGTGTACTTGTCGATCTTCGTATAGGTGGCGACGTCGAACGAGATCTCGACGTACAGAAACCCACCGTTGGGGTAGTACTTGTCGAGGTAATGCGAGAGGAGTGGAACGGGTGTGGAGATTGTGTACTTGGCGCCAAGGGCAAAATGGACGATGGCGAGGGGTGTGGCTGCCAAGATGGAGTTGGACGCCAGCTCATACTTGCCGTTGAACTGTAGGAAGCCTGGGAGTACAGGCGTTCCTCCTTCCTCTGGCAAAACGTTACGGTAGAAGCCCTGAACAAAGTTAAGTAGTCAATCAATAGAACATTTGAATAAGACAAAGAAGACTCACAAAATATGGCGCGGGCTCCTTAACCGTCCGCAATGAGTGACAAGAAAGACATAAAAATATAACGTCCGGATGTCGGACGGCATCGACGTGCGCCTCGGGCACCTCAATGCATTTGCTGCACATGACGCGGGGGCAGGCGTTGCATTCAAAGAGTACAACATCACCTTCCGCGCCATCGAGACAGATCAAACACCACTGACCTCCAGTCAGTCAACTGAACACTAGAAAGAAGCAAAAACAACTTACTATACTGTGTTCTTCCGGAATCCTAGCGTCCTCTGGCTCTAAGGATGGCGCGGACGATGTTGATCCTGCGGGCGTCGGAGGAGAGCCGGCAGGTGCCAAAAGTTTCCGGGCAGAACCGCCGCAAGACTTCTTGGCCGTGTTGCTCTTTTTAGGCGGCATTGGATAAGGAAAAGAAATGGTAGAGCAAAAAGGACTTTACGAATTTTCAAACCAACCAGTCATGTGATCGTGTTGTGGTTGCGCCGGCATTTGCCGCAACAAACAACATCAAATATGTTGAACATATAGTCCAGCGCAACACTTTCACACGGTTCAATTTCAAACCACATCTCTTCTGTCCGCTCACCCTGTTAGCCACTTACACAGACTGCAGCTGTGTAAGTGGCTAACAACCCACTGAGCACTCATTCCCTACTGCATGGTATGCGTCTTTCAAATCTAATTCTATTTCTAATTTGGTTGCATAGGTTGATTTGTGGATACCTAAGGTACGTCTCTTTTCAACCGTCTCTTCACTGAACGCCTTCTTTCTAGACAATTTAGGACACTATTGGGGTGCCTCCAGATCTAAGGTCTGTCTTTTTTGAACCGTCTCTCCACTAAACACCTTTCTAGTTATTTTGGTATACTATTGAGGCGCCTATAGATCTAAGGTATGTCTTTCTTTCAGCCATCTCTTTACTGAACGCCTTCTTCATCATTGAGCATTGAGGACTGGGGGCTTGGCTTTGGGAGGAGATGTATGTGTGCGTTGGCGCACTTCTCCTCCCTTGCTTCACCATTGAGTACTGGGGGCTTGGCTTGGGGAGGAGATGTATGTGTGCATTGGCGCACTTCTCCTCCCTTCTTTTATCATTGAGTACTGGGGGCTTGGCTTAGGGAGGAGATGTATGTGTGCATTGGCGCACTTCTCCTCCCTTGCTTCACCATTGAGTACTGAGGGCTTGGCTTGGGGAGGAGATGTATGTGTGCATTGGCGCACTTCTCCTCCCTTCTTTTATCATTGAGTACTGGGGGCTTGGCTTGGAGAGGATTCAGTGTCCACATTGGTGCGCCCCTCCTTCAACCACCGTTGTGCTTGTGAGGTTTAAGTGTCCACAATGGTGCGCCTCCTCCCACAATCCTTGTGTTGTATTTTCTCTGGAGGGATGACAACCGCTCCACCATAAGGTAACTTGTATCGCTGCCTCTGACCAAAGGCTGACCGCAGCTTACAGATATGTTTCTTTTGGCTTGTTTAGACATTCAAAGGTAACCTGTTTGATATTCGCTACGCAAATACTGATTGCCAGCGCGCTTCACAGATATGTTTCTTTTGGCTTGTTCAGACATTCAAAGGTAACTTGTTTGATATTCGCTTCGCAGATACTGATTGCCAGCGAGGTTCACAGATTATGTTATTTAGTTAGCTATATTTTTCTCGCTCTACTTTTTATTACTGTATTACACAGTACTAGACTGCCGCAGAGAGGGCCCCTCTGCGGTAGCCTTGTATTGGCTTTGTCACACCTTTGTTTTTTTTCTTCAATTAGACAGAAAGATGCGCCGCCAATGTAACTTAGTTTTGATTTGTCACCAAATAGCAACACCACCCTGCTCGTCTGTGCGAATAAGTCACGTGACTTTTAAATACTGCAGTTAGAATGTTGCCAATTTTCACAGCAGCGTATTGTTGAACTAAGGGGTGCTTGAGAGTACCCTCAGTGCGCTCGTCTTTGGTCTTGAATGCGGCGGAATAGATGGTATCTCAGGTATTCCACCTGAGCTGAGGAAAAAGAGCAAATCCTCATCCAAGCTTTGAGACCCGATTTCTCTTTTCCTCATCGCGTCTATGAGTCGGTATCTCAGGTATTCCACCTGAACTGAGGAAAAGAGCAAATCCTCGTATCCAAGCTTTGAGACGTGATTGCTCTTTTCCTCAGCATAGGTCTGTAGCATGCAGCCGGTATCTCAGGTATTCCACCTGGGCTGAGGAAAAGAGAACCACGTCTATATGAGTCGGTATCTCAGGTAAGGTATTTCACTTGAACTGAGGAAAAGCAAATCCTCATATCCAAGCTTTGAGATACAATTGCTCGTTGCCTCAGCATAGGCCTGTAGCATGCAGCCGGTATCTCAGGTATTCCGCCTGGGCTGAGGAAAAGAGAACCACGTCTATATGAGTCGGTATCTCAGGTAAGGTATTTCACTTGAATCTTCTGACGCACGAACCTCCACGCACTGATACGATCCTACGCCAATTCACGACATCTCTCTATCTCTCTCTATCTCTATCTGTCCTTGTCTTTTTCCTCCCTCCATTTGCAAAATGTAGAGTTCACGCATCGCATGGCTTATCTTTTGCTCGCTCATTTTTCTTTGTCGGCTTTGGTTCACATCGTCGTCGTCCGCTTTTTCATTGTCCGTACCGCGCCGTCGTCGTCATTTTCGCTGTCGTCATCTTTTCCATCCACCAGTATCGCAATCGTTTCCTTCCTCTACACTCCGGCACGCTCGCTCTGAGGAAAAGAGCAATCACATCTTTGGTAAGGCCCATAGCATGCAGCCAGTATCTCAGGTATTCCGCCTGAGCTGAGGAAAAGAGCAATCGGGTCTCAAAGCTCGGATATGTGGGCCTTACCAAAAGCCTCATATTCGAGTGCGATTGCTCTTTTCCTGAGCCCAGGTGGAAAGCTCAGATACGAGGATTTACCTGCACGACTGTGCTATATCGCGCCTAAGACACAATATTTTCAACACTGGCAGACCAGTTTATTACTTGCCGTTAGCATAAAGCTCAAATTTAAAGGTTCTCCCAGCTTTTATGTCTGGACTGCCATTTCTTGAGCTTGAATTTGAAGGATGTAAGGTAACTTAAGTTGGGACTGCTGTTTCTCATCTGTTTCTTTCACAATACAGGCCTCTGCTTGGATGGTATGTCTTTGCAAATCTTATATTACGACACCATCCAAATTAGAAGTTATCCCGATTTGGATCTTCCAACATTGTAAATTAAACCATTTATAGTCTAGACCGCCTGCGGTTGAAAATTTTACCATTCCGTTGTTTCAAGTCTGATTTTCCAAACTCCAACCACCGAAAAATGGTGGATCCTGCTGTGACAATTCTGTCCAAGAGCCTCTGTAGGCTTATAGATGACCTACTGCGTGATTCATCGCCGTATGAGTTGCTGATAGGTGACAAAATCAATGACAATTTGCTGCAAAGAGCCAGGTAAGGGAATCTCACGTCACTGTCCAGAAAAACTTGACAGCTGGAATTTAAGGACTAGATTGTGGGCCAAGTGGCAGGACATACGTCTGTCCAGTACTGGTAGTGATGTCAAGGCGAATGTCATTGCCGAGATTGAACTTACCAGGGCTGCGGTCATAATAGCCTATGCTGTGGTTAATCCCCGTAAGTGTTGATTTGATGGTTGGGGGGTCTGTCATTCATTATGTTGCCATAGTGCGAGCGGATTTGGATGCAGATCGGTTTGCGGACAGTGCCAAGGCGTCCCATCCATCGCATGCTGACAGCCAAAGACATAAGCTAGCAAAATATTTCCACTGTCCTTCGTTTGGTTCAATATCGGAGCCGGCAACATTTGTTGACAGGCATGGAAGGATCCTTGCTTGGTATTTGCCAGAAATCGTGGTGCCTGATAGAATGGTATGAATTTGATTTGATTACAGTTTAAGTCCTTTTAATAAGTTATAATTAGGATCGTGTCAACCAGTCCATCAAATTGCTGAGACCTGCCTTAGATCAGTCTTTGCCCAAGCCAACTCAGAAGGCAAAGCAGCCTTGGCGTTCTCAAGGATTTGTCATGCCTTCAAGCGGGGGAGAATTTGGAGTAGGAAGGGTGACTTTATGCCCGGGAGGATTCATGCAACGCCATGAGGTAACTCTGTATTCATATACTTGCCATGATACAGAACTAACTTAAATGGGCTAGCGGCTTCAGGATGACTTGTACCAATCAAGCTCCCTTTCTTCACCTGCAGTCCGAGATTGGTTGTCCGAAATAACGGTAACTGAACATTTGTGGTCCGCTATCACCAGTGTTATTGCGCCAGATCAATATCAGGCTGGTGTGGAATCTGTTGCTAATATGAAGGATACGGTTCGTACCTCAGATCCTGTTGTTTGGCCCTCGGAGTTTTCTGGATTGGAAGTTATTGTCAACCGAGAGACGCCAAATCACCGAGACCCCGGAGCATCGCCTTCATTCTATGACCTTTTGGTGAGCCTTGGCAAAGGTCACCGTGCCGTACTAGCTCTGCCAGATCTGGGTGCCGAGCTAGCATATCCGCCTGGCACTATGGTTTACATTTTAGGGAAGGTGCTGGAGCATGGAGTGCCAAGGTGGGGTGATGGGGAGAGAATTGTGATTGCACACTTTGTCAAGGATAAAGTACATGATAGGCTTGGTGTACCGAGACCAAAGTTTCCAAACCAGCGGGATTTTCTGAATAGAGTGGGGGCAGGTAAGAAGGGGGGTTTAAAAGCCATTCGGAGATCAAATAAGAGCAGGGGACGAGGAGTAGTTTCCAGAAAATAGATATCCCGATTAGACAAAGCTTGTGATTTTAAATCGGTTGACTTCTCATACACTGGAATATTTCCTCGGTCTAAGCACTATGTCCTCAAAAAAAAGGCAACGTCTCAAGGCTATTTCTTATTCTTTCCAACATAGAGGAAAGTTATCAAAAACAAAGGATCTGGATGTTGATTATGTTGCTCACGAACCTACAAGAGACAAGAGGGGAAATCCCTCTTGGGTTGAGTCTTGTGCTGATCAGCTGTATCAAACTTCGCCAGAGCCTACTACCAGCCCAAGAAAACGAGTTAAAGAAGTACACACAGAATCACCAGACATCCAAGAAGAGGATTTAAATCAGGAAATGTTTGGTGACTTTGTTATTCACGTAGAGGCTGCTGAGCAAGGGAGAAAAACAAAGGTATGTCTAACAGGCCATGGCTTACTAGTAATTGTTTCTCATCAATGGCATAGACGCAAAATGACTTCATATCAGAGTATCTCGCTCACCGAGATGCGTATCTAGATGTCATCTTGGACTCAGAGAAATTTGCCACCACAGGCATCTGTGAGACTTGCCAATGCGAAGATAGTTCCTTCCGTTGCACAACTTGCACTGGCGACCACAGCTGGTGTCGCCCTTGCCTCCTCGAATCACATCAGTCATTGCCTTTCCACAAAATCCAATTTTGGAATGGCAAGTGCTTTGAAGACGTCACTCTTTCTGCCCAAGGATTTATATGGCACATGGGCCATGGTGGAAAGTCTTGCCCTTGCTACGGAGTTGGACAAAGTCACCTTGATCAAGATTCTTCTGTGATTATTGTACATTCTTCTGGGGTGTTCACACACAATGTGTTGTGGTGTCGGTGTCCAGGATCACATCACGAACATCACCTGCAGCTGCTCCAAGCAGGACTATTTCCCGCCAGTATCACACGCCCTAGGACTGCGTTCACCTTCGAAGTACTGGATCATTATCTCATTGATGCCTTGGAATGCAAGACTTCGGCAATGAGCTTCTTTGAGAAAATCCGACGGCTGACAAATAATGCTTTTCCGGATGCTGTCCCGGTGAGTAGAATCGACAATATCATAATTCTAGCTCATACTGAATGCAAACTCCCATCTGTAGGATCGATATCGTGAACTCATGAGAGTGTCTCGACTCTGGCGCGACTTGAAGAACCGTAAATGGTTTGGATTTGGCCATGACATGGAAGCACCCCCTAGTGCAGGAGATCTTGCTCTATTTTGCCCTTCTTGTCCGCAGCCAGGAATCAATATGCCTCTTATTTGGGAGCAGAAGTACGAAAGGCAAGTCAATTCCAGCAATCCTTGTCTGCCAGACTCCGGCCAGTACCCACCGTGCATAGCGCAGCAGTGGTCCTGGCTGGTAATATGTGTCAGCTGAGTCCTGGCCGGTACCTTTTGTACGCAGCCCAGTATCAGTCACGGCCGACCATTTGTCTCTACTGGCCAACCTTGTCTGCCAGACTCCGGCCAGTGTCCACAGTGCATAGCGCAGCAGTGGTCCTGGCCAGTAATATGTGTCAGCTGAGTCCTGGCCGGTACCTCGTGTACGCAGCCCAGCATCAGTCACGGCCGACCATTTGTCTCTACTGGCCAGTAATGTGTCAGCTGGCCGGTACCTTTGTACACAGCCCAGAGTCAGGCGGGGCCGACCATTTGTCTCTATTGGCCAGAAGTTGTTGGTTCCAGATAACTCGTGGATGCTGACTTTTTGATTGCAGGTGGCTTGTTATGAGAAGATTTGTGGTAGATGGAAACTTTACCGCTCAGCACATGAACATGCGACAGCCTCAGCTTGACGTCTTCCTCTCAGATGGTTTAGGTTATATGGTAACAGACGGAGATTACCAAGCTCACTTGGCTTCAGCTATGGAGAGTAAAGAGGTGAATCGATTTGCTTTGTATTGTTAGTGGTGGCTAAACCTGTAGAAAGCGATCCTCGTGTAGCAACCATCGGGCCGTCAATGCAGCAAACACAAACAGAAGCAACCTCCGAGCTACAGGGGTCGGTGCCACTGCTTGTGCTCGGCATGGATGTTTTGTTCCCCACTGCATAGTGGACTTTCAGAAGGGTGAACGGCAAGTTTTCTTTCATTTACTCAATCTAGGTTAAGACGAGCCTTGGGCTTGACATGCTGACAAAATCACTTCAAGCCACATGAATATAGATTATTCCATTTGCAATGCCATTAAGCATGCTGCTGGCAACATTGACAACTCCCTGATCATCTATGATGTGGGGTGCCAGTGGAGCCTTAACTTCACTCAACGTGTTGACAACTGCCCTGGCTTGGCACTCCCAGACAACACCGAGATTGTGGCCGCAGTGGGGAAATTTCACTTGAGCGCTCATAAACTTGCCTGTTTTGCTAGATACAGCTTAAACTTCATTCAAGGAGCTGGGCAAGTTGACGGGGAAATTCTGGAGACACTTTGGGCTCCCTTTAACAAGATATCTCCCACAGCACGTTCTATGAGCCAAGCACACCGTCAAGAAATTCTTGATGATCATATGCGTAACTCAAATTGGAAAAAACTTGTCAGAATAGGTAAGTGCCTATATTTGGAATGAATGACATCACAGTTTCACACTGATGCAGTTAAGACGCTCTTGAGAAAGTACAAACGGGCCAACAAGGGCATTGAAGACACTAGGGTGCCATTTGAAGAGCTTACAGGATCTTTGGATGTCATCAAAGTGAGGGCGTGGGAAAAAGACGAGGAGAAGGCAAAGGAAGAACGTGGAGAACATCTCAACATTTACCAGCTAAAGATAGATAAAGGTGAGCACTTCGAAGCTTCTATTCAGTTCCCTGTGCCGTACATTCTGATTGGGTGATTGGAAGCACCAACAATGGCAGAAATACGGCTAAAATTAACTGAATCAGAATATGCTGATACAGGGAGGTTGGGATCAATTTCTTGGCTCATTGACGGCATCAATATAGAGGATTCGCAGTATGTTGTTTCATCATATATATTGATGGTGATGACGTATTTCTAATTACTATCTAGGGATGCACTCAGGGTAGCTATTCGGCAGCTTCCCAAAGATGCGTCTGCAGTTCAAAGGGCTGCAGTTCAAGTGAAACGACAAAAACTGGCTGCACGTATTTCGAAATTTCATGAAATTGCTGATGCTATGACAGAGGGCATCGAAGTCCATGCAGGTACTGAGCACATGGATGACATCAGATTTTGCACTACAGATGTGGTGGAGGAAGTGCGGGAGGCTGCAGATATTGAAGACGTGTTGGAAGAGATTGATGAGGAAGTTCCTGCAGAAGCCATGGGCATTTGGATGCCATCTTCAGTGCTCCGAAATGAGGCTTTAGCCCTGGGCTTGCACACTCTGCAAGCTGAAGAACTGGAGTTACGAAAGGGTCAAGCAAATGATTGCTTGGAAAAGTTACGGCAGGCTCTCGGTCATAAAGCGATAATTTACCGTCAACATTTCCGAAGTGCAGATTCCACATGGACAGGAACCAGGTCAAAGCAGGAGGCTCTACGATGTCGTATCAAAATAGAGAAGTGTGTCCGAAGGTATCAAAGGGCAAGGGGTTCGATGCAGAGACTAGGGGCTGATGAAGATACTCTGAGGACGATTTATCAAGACATTCAGCCACACCAGCTCAGTGTGGACAAGGAAGTGACGGAAGAGAACAGATATGGGCAGGGATCAGACAGACTGGCTTGGTTTTGGAGAGTCAACAACGGTCATGATTCGCAGGAAGATGTGTGGATGGATGAATGTAAGTCATATCTAATATGCCTATTTTCTGCAGTGACAGGTATTAGTCTACAGGGTAAATTGGTTGAAAGCTAAGGCTAGATGGCAAAGGTGGGAGGAGGAGTTGAGATTGGTCCAACACGAAATGGGTTGGACAGTGAGTTGGTTTAAATACAGGATGGAAGAATGGGACCAAAGATACCGACAAGCTACAAAGCCTGGTCATCAAGCTTATGCACATCGACAGGTGCTCTTGTGGGGAAGATTTGCATTGGATGCTGAAAATTCATTCAAAGACAAGATGATTGTAGTCGTTTAACAGTCTTTGCTATTATAATATCAAAGACTTATCTAGCCAATATATGATAGTTATGGTGGTCAGGATCACTGCCTACACGTCATACTCTAGAGCTGGCCCATTTATACTTGCAGATAGTACAATTTGAATGACTAACTCTCAAGTGATAGTACTAAAACCAACATCTTTCTTGATAATACTTTGTCTAAGGTATTAGCCTGGAGATGGCTCGGCTGGCTCTGGTATCAATGTCTGAAGTATCGGCCTGCCTGCTTGTACATACCTTGGTCCTGATCCGGCCGGCTCTGTTATCAATGTCTGAGGTATCGGCCTGCCTGCTTGTACGCCCCTTGGTCCTGATCCAGGCCGACTCTGTTATTCAATGTCTGAAGTGTCGGCCTGCCTGCTTGTACACAACATGGTCCTGATCCGGCCGACTCTGTTATCAATGCCTGAGGTGTCGGCCTGCATTTCTGTACATGGCCTGGACATGCACCGGCCGGCGTTATTATGAATGCCTGAGGTGTCGGCCTGCTTTCCTGTACATGGCCTGGACATGCACCGGCCGGCTCTCTCATCAATACCATCAGGAAACCTACACTTTCCTTATCATTCTTGAGTTGTTTTAGATACTTGGGTTCTTGACCATGATGCTCAACATCACATAAGACATGAACACTTAAATATATTTGTATACTTACATTATCTACTGACACTGATCAACTTGCATAAGTCAAATATCCTGCTGGACTTGAGTATCTTAGAAGTGCAAGTCATGGAAAGACTTGGCCAAGTATTATACAGTTATTCAACAATGTGTAGGTTTTTCCTGATGCCCTAAGTTGTTGGCTGGTACTGATGTATGTGTGTAGGGAGCCTCACTTGGGTGGTCGGCCAGTACCAGCCCCACACCTCTGGCCAGCACCAATGTACATGTACGAGCAGTGGTCGGCCAGTACCAGCCCCACACCTCTGGCCAGCACCAATGTACATGTACGAGCAGTGGTCAGCCAGTACCACCCCCACACCTCTGGCCAGCACCAATGTACATGTACAAGCAGAGGTCGGCCAGTACCACCCCCACACCTCTGGCCAGCACCAATGTACATGTACAAACAGTGGTCGACCAGTACCACACTCACTCGGCCAGTACCACCCTCACACCCTTGGCCGGAGCACCAATATACATGTATAAGCAGTGGTCGGCCAGTACCACACTCACACCGCTGGCCAGCACCAATGTACATGTATAGGCAGTGGTCAGCCTGTACCCACATATATAGACAGCCTCACCTGAGTGGTTGGCCAGTACCACTCTCACACCCTTGGCCGGCACCAATGTGCATGTACAGGCCGGTGCTGGTTGGTACACATTCTACAGCCATTTGGCACATCCGGGGCACCACTTCTACATAGGGTTATGACTGAAGTATGTGGGTTTGGATGAGGAGAACTTGCGGGACGATGTGCGATTGTTAGTGAGAGACTGGACTGCGCCGTCTAGCAAGCGCATTGCAGTTCCTGTTCATGTAGAGCCCAAGGTATATTTCGCAAACGAGCGCACGTTCTTGGTAGGACTTTCTTTCATTTGCTGATTGAGTTCGTTCGCTCATGTTTATCGCACAAGAAATGGCTCAGCTTTGCAGTGCTCATTGGATCCATCGCTACGACGTTGTTAAATTTCGTAGATGCAGATGATCCGTGAGGCCTGATCAGCGCAGCACTATTCACTCTAGCTGCACTACTTGCCATCATCTTCGTGTACCGAGCCATTCGTCTACGGGCGCGATCGGCGGAAGGGCTGTACTATGATAAGTACGGCCCGACCATTCTTTACTTTGTGTTGTTGGCGGCGCTGGGTACCAATATTGGGTTGAGGGTGGCTGTTACGCTCGGCATTGGTTAAACATCTTAGTAAACATTTGGTTGAAAGTCTAGCGATACCCTAGTATCGAGTCGTGTGAGTTAAGCAGTAGTATTGCAGGCCCTGGTCTGTGTAGGTCAAGTTAAAGAGTACAAATGGTAGGGACGAGGTTTAAATAGAAGTATTGAAATGGAGTTGGAATATAATAAGCCAATGAGAAAAAGAGGAAGGAAGTTGTATGATAGAATGATATGGAATGTCATAGAAGGCTTAGTAAGTAGACGAGATAGGGGAAAAGAGAACCGTAACAGTGGCCGAGATGTGATCGTGATGTGTGGGGATGGGTTGTATTATTGTGTATCGACTTTGAGACTTGACAGTGATAGATTGTTGGGGTTCATTCATTTTCGTTCAGGACTGTGTCATGTGATGCAAGCATGCTGAAGGAGTGATGATGACACCTGACACGGACACATGGTGCATTTGATGGAGGCGCAGAGTTTGATGGAATGCACATGTAGGACAAGTACAGTACTTGTGCGGCTTGATCGTAGGGATAGTGGTACACCGGTACTGAAGAGATTACTCTTGGGTAGGAAAGAGAGAAACCAAAGAAATAATCTGGTTTCTCAGAACTTACCGATAAGACCACACAGGAAATCTATAAAGACCTTCGCGCCGAGGATGTAACAACATTCAAACTCCTTGTATTCATCCACCTAGCTATATCATCATGTACACCGTAAGCCTTGCCATTGCGTTTTCATTTTTGTCATCTTGATCATTTCGCAGGTCGCTCAAGTCCCTATTTCCCAGAACAACTGTGGTTCGGCCAGCTGCTTGTGCGGCAAATCATAAGTCGTATTGCCTTTGAACAAAGTCGGATTTCTGGTCTGACTCACAACTTTATGCACAGGTGCCAATGTAAGGTCGGAGAGTGCGAGTGCTGAGCGCTGAACGCTGAGTGTTTGAGGGGACGTGTAGTTATAGGATTGTTTATGAAGGGTCAAGTGTATGATTTGGACGTTAACATGCATGTGTTGGATTCTGAAATTTCATCAGAGGACGCTCACCATGTCAGAACAATGGCAAGCTGTCGGACTAGGTAACTGGGTTTGAATTTGGATTCTCCAGCAAGTTAGTCCAATTTGCGTTGGTGAGCTAAGTGGCTATTGAAAAACTAGTACTGTCATCAACAGCTCGCCCTTGATTTTACTCCAACTAATTTTCACAACCTCTTAGACTCATCACTACAGATCCAGTCTTCCGTGTCTCTGAACAAGATCTACGTAACACCTCCCCAGCTGGTGAGCTGTTAAGATGCTCATCTGCAGCCTTGGGACCAACGTGATTTGAAGGTGTTTATGGCTCTGGGGCCCTGCGATGTCTCGCAAGCAGGTCAGCAACTTGACTGCGAGTCGCACAACTAGGGTTTGGCAACTACCGCAGGACTTGAGGCTGGAGTTTAATAACAGTGTTCATTTCTGTTAACAGAATGTCGCGACCGTCTTATTAAGAAACCTTGAATGAGACGCCGCCGAATCGAGAATACCACTATCACAAAAAGTTGGGCTTCCTGAACGGCCATGAGGGGCTACATGTGCGATAATCTGAGTCGTCTTCCCTGTCATGTTCATTTCCATGTTCACGTACTATAGGGATGCGTTGTATACCCGCCAGACAATCCTCTCCGAGCCCACATAGTAGTTGAACTACCAGATGTTGAACATCACCCAGATATCTTGTGGATTATGATAGCCTTTGTAGGAGTCGGTCTTGACGGGTGACCTTAGTATCATAGGTGTCACGGGATTAATCATTAGAGTGAAATCTCTTGGTCAGCCTTTTCTTGGATATCTTCATGCACCATTATCAATATCAATAAATTCACAAGCATTGCGTAAGTCTGGGGAAAGTTCGTGCTATTTCAAAAATGTTAAATGGGCACAAAAAACTTACGGTCTCTGTTGCCACTAGGTGCCGTGCGAGTGAATAGTAGTCCTACTCTTTATGACAAGTTTACACACCCATATGAATGCTTGATGCTGCACAGATGAGCTCAGCCTCCTCCTTATATTTTGACGTCCTCTCAATGATGTCTCTGAGCGTGTCAGTTACCATTCCCTGCATCTCAGTACCTTCGAGCTTTGTGTCATGTTCATTAAGAGTCGGAGAGAACGGAGCATGTTGACAACGTATGACATAATTGCCTGCCTGCCTGTCGGAAAAATCGCACCGTACACTCGATGAACATTGTCCTCACATCCCTCGTTCGATTCTCTGATAGTTTGGAGGGTAGTGGCTTGGAGGAGTACCATGATGGGTATCCCGCTGGTGTGACCTCCGAGTTTGATGCTAATTCCTGAAGGTCTTGATAAGCAAAATTCCTGGATGACCAAATACTTTTCAGTTAGTCTCTGTTGTTGGTCCATGGGGTGCTTCAACTTTGACCATTCTAATGGTACGAGGTACGAGCGCCAAATTGAAAGAATGGTGAGGCGGATGTCAAGCTGTGCTGAATGCTGAGCCTGGTGAGGATGGCGCACTCGGCACTTGCCACACCTTCTCTACCTGAACCAATCATGACCTGTCCATGACCCACAAGGTTGATGCGTTGTCCAAGCACTGTATCTCATGATCAGCTCGCTACACACTGACTGCAGGCTGAATACATTGATGTCCTGGTTGACCACCACCACATTCCACAGTGACCTAGCTAGTGCAGCCTCTGGGCTTCGATGAGGAAGCGAGAGATGTAGTACATGCATACTACGCAAGTACTTATTTCTCTTCCTTCTCGACTGATAGTAGTCTCCTTCTCACTGCATTCTCTAATGTTCGAAATTCCTGGTTTGTCGTTTACATCCATTTTTTCTCTCACCAGGGCCCGCCATCCCAACCCACGGTTCGCCCTGATTGGCATACCGCTGATACATAGCAAACCAATCAACTTTCAAGTAATTCAACAGCCTACAAGTCGAGATTTCTCGCCCAGGAGTGATCTAAACAGTAGACAAACTGAGGTGGTGTTAATGTTCAACGGCCCAACAACTGTTGACTGGCTTCACAATACCCGCGCTACCATCGACGAACCTAGAGACGGAACCAGATGACAATTGCCTTGGAAAGCTGGGTACATATCACAGCCTTGGATGTTTGTGTCCCCTAATAGTAGAACCCAGGGTGGAGTCTACAAGGTTTGGTCAGAATCTATGTCTGAATGCTGGTCGCCAATCACAGTGCTAACCTCCTACAGCTCGTGCTCGCGCTCATCACATTTCCACTTGAAAACCACTGTCCTTGTCGGTGCTGTCTGACGTCGCTAGTGCATCCTTTCCTAGACACGAGCATGACTGCGCTGTTTGGCCCAGGTGATGATGCCTGCACGACGCTCGTACATACGTGGCTTGATGTGAGGCATAGGACGAAGTAAGTTTCAGAGGCTGTGTAGAGTATATGGTTTAAATTTGAAAGGTGTATTAAAGGCGCAGCTGAAGAGCAACGGACTGGTGCTGAAGCACCTTCCAGAGGTACGTTCGGTATCTGATGCTTGGATTATCTGTATCTGATATCTATATAAATACATTTCTAATGTAGTGGGAATCAATCCCTGGATTTAATCCAGCGTGTTTTGCACAGCTTTCATCGGAGTCACATTGCCCTTATCATATTTTTCGCTATCACCTAGTCAGAAGCAGAGTGAGGAGGTGCGCATGAGGCTACTGAACTCGAGGTCTTGGAAGGAGGAAAATTGTGCATTGGATTGAGCATCGAGGGGCGTATGCTGGAAGGCCTGACACCATGCTAACAGAATGTACCATCTGGACATCTTGGACGAGGCGCTTCCAAGGGTTCATCGTAAATATGACTGTTGATGTTTTATGAACGAGCCTGTACTATTCGAAGAAAAAGTCGGGCTTCCTGATTGGCCATGGAGCCTTGCACAGGCACATGGAAATCTTCTCTTCTCCCATGTGCCCTGGCCCCTGATTTCTGTTGTCATCTAGGGATTGCGTCGCATATATACTGCACAACCCTAGATGCTGAATCCACTGCACCGCCTTTATCATCTCATGTCCTTGGTTCAGGGATCGATCATCATCTGGCTTCTTGCAACAATACAAAATGCGCAGTTGATGTAGGGGTGGTCCGTCTATTTTCACAGCCTGATACATCCTGAGTCATAGTCTTTAATTGATATCAGGATAGCACAGGCGAGTGATCTATTAGAATGCAACATTGTCAAGGTTAAGAGACCTTCAATGTTGAATGAGCTATTATGCTTCACGGGCTGGGCAAGCGAGATGGAGGCACTGCTGGTAATCATTGAAATTCAGACTGCGGGTTTGTTCGATGATTGAATCACGCATAGGCCTGTGTTAGATCGATGACCTCTGCACAATGGAACACCCTGTGTACTTGACGTCATGCGACAATTATTAAGCACTGTAGTCAGACTCCTACATGGTAACGTAAAAGTTGGACCTAGAACTGATCCGAACAATAATACTTCAGGATACCAAATAACTAGTTCACATAAGCACCACGATGAAACTGGGGACATGGCACAATTCTCCCGCTCCATGCAGAGCAACCCTATAAGTGATGTAAGGTTGGGTATGAGTTCGGCGGGGACGAAGTAGATACGAGACGAGTGCAAAGGTAATTGAGATGAGTAGGTAAACGTTTGAGACGGAGACTTTCTGTGAGGCTTTTCAGTCGTGCTTGGAGCGGGAAATCAGCGTATGGGATTCTGCTCGATTTTTATGTAGGTATGAATGTACATGGGCGGTATATATACATTTTCGAACACTTGACTAGGCCAGAATGAGCATAAGGAGCATATGGTGAAAGTAAAATGAAGCGGTCAAGGCAAGGGGATCATGGAGTCTGAGCACAAGGTAAGATCATAAAAGGAAATCAAAATGGAAAAGACTGTATCTGCGTGACTCGGATGCAAAGAGTAACGGAAGGACGTCGTCTTCGTTTTGAAGCGTGATCGGTGCGTAGAGGATATGCAATCCTTACAGTGACATCGAGCATTTCCTGTGCTACACATCACTGCTAGTTGACACATGCACACGCTCCTGGAAGGCAATTGAAGTCATGGCAGTTGCTGCATCTGAGTCGTCCACGAGCTTAGCGTGATATTCTCGAACGTCAAGGATGAGACGTGGTCCCAGCACAAGCAACTGCACAGCCATAAATATTTGAAGAAACCCAGCATAAATCTGGACTTCCAGGGAATATGTGTCCTATAAAAATGATGAACCGCGCTCGCATGCAGAGGTCAGTGACATATTGGCATACCGCTGGCATCGTCGGCAACTCAAAACCGAGCTCGAAGCAAGAAACAGCAACAAAGCTAGCACGTTCTGAACGTCAGCAGTAGAAGAGAATGTCATTCGTATTATAGGCTCACCTCGCAAAGTAGCCCACATGAGATTTCATCAACACCGTGAAACAGTCTCCGAGAATCCCTCCTGCCGATTGTCGTCGCAGTTCTCGGAAGTGTTTTACAGCAATCCAGACGGCGAGACACAGTGCAAGGACCTCCCATACAGTGCCCAGTATCCAAGTCATGGACGCCAGACGCGCGGCATCTGACTCAGAGTTAATGTTGCACTGATAGGTGCCGGAGAAAATGAGCTCCTCTGATATTCAATGAGCCTCATGCATTGAAGTCTTTCAATCGAAGCTTACCCCCTGAAATAGTATGGTTCGTTATTATTGCGCTCATCGCTATGTTCGCGATATTGACAATCAGGAAGACGACACCGAGAAGTATCAGGACCTTTCTGGATCGCTGGTACATGGCATGTAACCGAATGATCATGATGACTTGTCTCGGTCAAGTCAGTATCATTGAGGTATTACAGCTGGTTCGCTCACCGTCCAGTATTACAGTTATGGTGCTATTTGTCCAATTTTGTGTGAAGTACAAGATAAGGCCTGACAATTACAAGCCCAGTTAGTGATCAGTCACAACCTCGCCGGAGGATCACACTCGAAACGAACTCACATCTATGGTAGTGAATATATATATATTGAACAAACAAGCTGGTCAAGAATCTCACTCACCCCTACATGGGAGTGCAGTTGATTAGACAGGAATGGCAGGTATTACTGCAGAATACTCACTACACCTGTGAGTGGGATTGTTGGAACATTGACTGTATGCCGCCAGTTAGAAAAAACAAACATGGTGAATATGAGACATACGCAGCATCTGGGTCCTGATTGTGAGAGACAGTGACTGATTAGCACAACACCAATTGCTTATTTCTCCGAACATACACAATAAATAACATTCCAAGATAGCGCGCCTGGGATGCTTTTGAATCAACACGACTTGCCAATCATTTTTATAACGCAAGCTACATACACTGACATAGAGAAAAGTCACGAGGGACCAGCGTTGCCTCTGCCGCCAATTATTCGAAGTTAATGTTGTTGTTCTGACGTGGGACGGTGCTCACCCATATCAGTTCGACCTGTAAAACCTGTCTCAGCGATATGGCTGCTCCGGTAATGGCATCAGCCTACCTCTTTCCCGAATGTCAATGCTGGAAATACTACCATAAGGATATCAGCGGTTCCTAGATACTTATCTTGCTTACCCCAATCATACATCACCCCAGCAAAGGCGGCAACTGCGAAATGCAGCCAAGGTTAGAACAACACATCACCATCATCATCCGACAGGCTCCACGTACCTACAAAATAGCTGGAAATCCTACTCGCATTGATGAATGGCCACCAACTGGGATCATTTGAGACTGGAGGCATATTGTCGGAGGATGGGTATGAGGAAGCAGCGAACTTGGTCGACGTATGGCAATGACATTCGTCCTAGATATACCAAAATCCAGCGTTCTTATTGCCAAAGTGAGCATCGTAGGGGTGATAACTGTTCCTGCTATGACAGATCGGAGTGAGCATTTTCGTATGAGGAGCATTGCTGCATTGGCATAAAGGGGGCGAAATCACGAACAGTGCTATGCAATTTCACGACCAACAGATGCATCAGCTTTAGTTCATTCTAGGGCCTCTGCATTGACTGACTCCCCCTTTGATGCAATTATTGAAAAAGCCTGCCATCTCACACTTCGATGAACATCGACAATGCCTCCGCTTCATTGGTTCGGCCCACGGAGCGTAGTTCATCCGAGGTCTCCTGACAATGTCACATTCTGTCGGCGGGCCATCAGACATCAGTGATCAGCAATGTCAGAGATTAAGAAAATCGTGGATAAACGCCACACACAGCTCCCGAAATAACTCTTCTCTCCCATCCGGGTTGCCAACACCACACACGCCTCACACCGCTTTTCTCCTGCCAAGGCCTCGATCCAGCGATCGATCGCCTCATGCGCATCTTTTCGCTCTCTGCCTGGTCACGTCACAAAGACAAAGTTAGATTAGTTATCGTAAGAGCAAAAATGTATCATACCTCTCATGCATTGGTATGAGCGATCCAACATGCCTGGTTAGATACTTGAGCAGTGTGTTTGACGATTGGGATGAGATCTGCTGGGAGTGAAGGCAAGGGAGAAACTAACCTAGTAAGCGAATGTCTGAGGGGCGCGCATGCATGATTAGTAATTTTCGCTGACCACTTGAAAGACAGCGAGATGTTGGATTGATTATCGAATACCGACAAACCAAAATAGTAAACACATCTGATACAACAGCACTGCACTCGACAATGCATCGCGCAATCGATGCATCGCTTGTCGCAGCCTCGCACATCCTGATCAATAATGCGTGATTGATATCTGATGAAATTACAAGTTAACGCCCGGGACATGTCAGAAAAGGAACTTTGGCTCTGTACGGCTTCATGACCGAACAAGGAAAGCCGACTCTTTGTTCTTAGAAACGTGCAGATAAAACGTTGATGGTGATATTCTTGATGAGCCTCGCAAGCGTCGCCTCCAAGGTCCCTTTGAATAACACGTTCGTGATATTCTCTTGATGGAAACGAACAATACGATGTGAAGGTTGTAAAATTCCAGCATCGAATCCTAAAGTAGCAGCGCTGATCAGACCTCGAGGATCATCTGCATCCACGAAGTTTAATAACGTCGTAGCGAGCACTGAAAAGCTAAGCCATTTCTAGTGCGGTATACATGAGCAAACGACCTGGGCTCAATATGGACAGGGAATGCAATCCGCTGGGCCGACAGCGCGGTCCAGTCTCTCACCAGCAAACATTTCTCCTCAGGGTCCCCCACAAGCCCTCATCCAAACCCGCAGCCTCCCATGTCCCTCGAGTTCCACACGCAAAAACGCATTCTTATTCGCCTGCAGTCCCTCATAAAACACAGAAGACGGCAGACCTTGCGGGTCGATCAACACAGTCCTTCAATAATGGTGTCTATTTATCACACACCACTTCAGGAGTGCTGCTACCCCCGCTGAGACGTCCTCGTGTGGCAGCCCAGTGCGCTAGTCTTCGCCTTTAGAAGGCGCCCAGTCAATGTCAATCTCCTCGTCTTCTTCGCCCTCCGAGACGGGCTCAACATCAGAATGGGCTGGCGAGATCACACCAGACTGCTGCCTTGGGGTGCCTTTGCGGTGCTCGACTGTGAGGTAACCGGTGTTTGGCTTCAGGATGTCGGCATCCACTGGAGATGTGAGGTGAGCGGAGCACATCAGAGGCAGGTCTTCTGACTCACTTTGTGCAGTCAGAATGGCACAAGATCTACACGATTTGGCACCAGGATAACACAGGCTACACAGCCGTGTATGAATTTACTAACGACAGTCTATTAGTGGCGTAGAAATGCCTTGCTGGTGAGAATCATTCATGAACTTGGGAACAGCTTCGACGAGGTGGAATTGAACGACGTCCGTAACCCACTTGAAGGCTCTTGTTCGAACTGAGTCTGAAGCTTGATTTCTAAAATACCATGCCTTCGAAGAGTGTGAACATATCATCCGATGTCAGCTGGTCAAAAGGATGGTCAATGCCAATGCGGGACCAGCTGTCCCGTTATCTTCGCGCACCATCGTAAATTCGGCATCAAGTGATATCCGCACACGATCATCTCCTGGGAATAGAACGCAGTCTTGTTGTAGAAGGTCCTCTTAACTAGTATATTCATGAGTGAGGAAGGCAGACGTTGGGCGTGCTTACATACCTTGTTGGAGCTGCTTCGTAACAATACGATACTGAATCTCGCTCGCAACTAGACCTTGCAGCTCTTCGTCCATGATGTATTCTCCACGCAGGAACGCATTCATTGACAGGACACCCCGCCTTGACAGAATTTCGCAGGTCTAGTCTTCTATGTGAGTCTTGTGCCCGACGAAAATCTGAGGCAGGACGTCGAACATGATCTTGGCGAATGGACTCGAGCACACCTACAATTTTGACATCTGTGTCGCTGAACCACCTGTAGATAGATTGATTTGGCACCCTCTGTCTTCTCCAGTCGGTCGAGGTCCAGTTCAAGTTTTTCGTTGTCAAACTATATCGAAGTAATGGCTGCGATACTCGTCGACGTCGAGTCTTTGGCTTTAAATACAACGATAACATACCAGCATCCTTCTGTTTGAATTCCTTCTTATCATTGAACACTGAAACAGGAGATGAGTTGACAAAGTACTGGCAATGAATCACCACCGACCGAGAACAAGCAGATGTTGCAAAATGGCCAGTCTCAGCGGTACGATGTTATCTGGATTCCAGATCTAGCTGGAATCGTCTTGTTAACAGAAATACACGAGAAGAAAAAGCTTTTGATAATTATCCAGTACTTTCGTCTGACGCACTCTGATTCCCGCCTGCGCTTGAATTGGGTGACCACTACAGGTGTGGACGAGGTTGTAGAGCTCGGATAACTTGACGATCAAAGAGTCTCGATTGTATTTATATGGAAGCGTCTTTACTCAAGGTTATGATAGCTTTAGATAGTCCTGAATGAACGTTCATTGATTTCAAAGGGCGGTCAGGAAGACATCCAGAGTCTAGAGAACGCGCATGCAGTGTTTCTGAGAATGGTGAGTTAGCAAAAAGCAAGAGGTATCTCGAGGCTCGAGGAGGATTTTGAGAAACTGGTGATATTCAATTTCGAAGGCCGTGAAAGATGTCACAATCAGCTGTTCTTGAAATTGATTTGCACACTTTCTCGCTATTTTTCAATATTTTTCAATGATATTGCGAGCCAATTGCAACCGCATTTCTATGGCAATTTCAACGACTCTATTATAAAAACCCATTTCAAACCCCACACGGTGACCTAGCTAGTGCAGCTTCTGGGCTTTGACGAGGAAGCGAGAGATGTAGTACATGCATACCACGCAAGTACTTATTTCTCTTCCTCCTCGACCGATAGTAGTCTCCGTCTCACCGCATTCTCTAACGTTCGAAATCCCTGGTTTGTCGCTTACATCCATTCTTTCTCTCACCAGGGGCCCGCCATCCCAACCCACTGTTCGCCCTGATTGGCATACCGCTGATACATAGCAAACCAATCAACTTTCAAGTAATTCAACAGCCTGCAAGGATTTCTCGCCCAGGAGTGATCTAAACGGTGGACGAACCGAGGTGGTGTTAATGTTCAACAGCCCAACGACTGTTGACTGGCTTCACGATACCCGCGCTACCATCGATGAACCTAGAGACGGAACCGGATGATGATTGCCTTGGAAAATCGGGTACATATCATAGTCTTGGATGTTTGTGTCCACTGATAGTAGAACCCAGGGCGTAGTCTACAAGGTTTGGTCAGAATCTATATCTGAATGCTGGTCGCCAATCACAGTGCTAACCTTCTACAGCTCGTACTCGCACTCATTACATTTTCACTTGAAAGTCACCCTCCTTTTCGGTGCTGTCTGACGTCGCTAGCGCATCCTCTCCTAGACGCGAGCATGACTGCGCTGTTTGGCCCAGGTGACAATGCCCGCACGACGCTTGTACACACGTGGCTTGATGTGAGGCATAAGATGAAATAAATTTCAGAGGCTGCGTAGAGTATATGGTTTAAATTTGAAAGATGTATTAAAGGCGCAGCTGAAGAGCAACGGACTGGTGCCGAAGCAGTTTCCAGAGGTACGTTAAGTATCTGATGCTTGGATTACCTGTATTTGATATCTATATAAATACATTTCTAATGTAGCGGGAATAAGTCCCTGGATTTAATCCATTGCGTTTTGCACCATCGGAGTCGCACGGCCCATATCATATTTTTCGCTATCACCCGGTCAGAAGAAGAGCGAGGGGGTGCGCATGAGGCTACCAAACTCGAGGTCTTGGAAGGAGGAAAATGGCGCATTGGATTGAGCGTCGAGGGGCATGTGTTGGAAGGTCTGACGCCATGCTAACAGAATGTACCATCTGGACATCTGGGACGAGGAGCTTCCAAGGGTTCGTTGTAAGTATGACCGTCGATGTTTTATGAACGAGCCTGTACTATTCGAAGAACAAGTCGGTCTTCCTGATTGTCCATGGAGCCTTGCACAGGCACATGGAAATCTTCTTTTCTCCCATGTGCCCTGGCCCCTGATTTCTGTTGTCATCTAGGGATTGCGTCGCATATATACCGCACAACCCTAGATGCTGAATCCACTGTACCGCCTTTCGCATCGTATGTCTTTGGTCCAGGGATCGATCGTCATCTGGCTTCTTGCAACATTACAAAACGCACAGTTGATGTGCGGGTGATCCATCGATTTTCACAGCCTGATACATCCTGAGTCATAGTCTTTAATTGATATCAGGATAGCACAGGCGAGTGATTTATTAGAATGCAACATTGGTAAGGTTGAGAGACATTCGGTCAGCTATTATGCTTCACGGGCTGGGCAAGCGAGACGGAGGCACTGCTGGTAATCATTGAAATTCAAATTGCGGGCTTGTTCGATGATTGAATCACGCATAGGCCTGTTAGATCGATGACCTCTACAATGCAACACCCTGTGTACTTGACGTCATGCGACAATTATTAAGTACTGTAGTCAGACTTCTACATGGTCACGTAAAAGTTGAATCTAGAACTGATCCAAATAATAAGTAGTTCACAGACACATCGCCTCATGCATGGACCCCATGACCGGTCGGCCTGATAGTATTCATTTCAATCTACTTCAGAACACCAAATAACTAGTTCACATAAGTACCATGACGAAACTGGGGACATGGCACAATTCTCCTGCTCCATGCAGAGCAACCCTATGAGTTACATCGAGCATTTCCCATGCTACACACTACTGCTAGTTGACACATGCACACACTCCTGGAAGGCAATTGAAGTCATGGCAGTTGCTGCGTCTGAGTCGTCCACAAGCTCAGCGTGATATTCTCGAACGACAAGGATGAGACGTGGTCCCAGCACAAACAAATGCACAACCATGAATATTTGACGAAACCCAGCATAAATCTGGACTTCCAGGGAATATAGGTCCTATAAAAATGGTGAACCGCGCTCGCATGCAGAGGTCAGTGACATATTGGCATACCGCTATCATCGTCGACAACTCATAACCGAGGTCGAAGCAAGAAACAGCAACAAAGCTAGCACGTTCTGAACGTCAGCAGTAGAAGAGAATGTCATTCGTATTATGGGCTCACCTCGCAAAGTAGCCCACATGAGATTTCATCAACACCGTGAAACAGTCTCCGAGAACCCCTCCTGCCGATTGTCGTCGCAGTTCTCGGAAGTGTTTTACAGCAATCCAGACAGCGAGACACAGTGCGAAGACCTCCCATACAGTGCCCAATATCCAAATCATGGACGCCAGACGCGCGGCATCTGACTCAGAGTTAATAGCGCACTCATGGGTGCCGGAGAGAATGAATTCCTCTGATATTCAATGAGCCTCATGCATTGAAGTCTTTCAATCGAAGCTTACCCCCTGAAATAGTACGGTTCGTTATTATTGCGCTGATCACTATGATCGCGATATTGACAATCAGGAAGACGACACCGAGAAGTATCAGGACCTTTCTGGATCGCTGGTACATAGCATGTAACCGAGTGATCATGATGACTTGTCTCGGTCAAGTCAGTATCATTGAGGTATTACAGCTGGTTCGCTCACCGTCCAGTATTACATTTATGGTGTTATTCGTCCAATTTTTTATGAGGTACACGATAAGGCCTAACAATTACAAGCCCAGTTAGTGATCAGTCATAGCCTCGCCGGAGGATCACACTCGAAACGAACTCACATCTATGGTAGTGAATATATTGAACAAACAAGCTGGTCAAGAATCTCACTCACCCCTACATGGGAGCGCAGTTGATTAGACAGGAATGGCAGGTATTACTGCAGAATACTCACTACATCTGTGAGTGGGATTGTTGGAATATTGACTGTATGCCGCCAGTCAGAAAAAACAAACATGGTGAATATGAGACATACGCAGCATCTGGGTCCTGATCGTGAGAGATGACTGATTAGCACAACACCAATTGCTTATTTCTCCGAACATACACAATAAATAACATTCCAAGATAGCGCGCCTGGGATGCTTTTGAATCAACACGACTTGCCAATCATTTTTATCATGTCCCTCAAGTTGCGCACGTGGCAGCACATACTTATTCGCCTGCAGTCGCTCATAAAACGCAGAAGACGGCAGACCTTACGTGTTCTCTCGCAATCAGCATTTCAATGATATGTATGGCTTCTCACATTCACTGCCATTCGTCCTTCTTACTGGCGGCATACAAGCAGTGTTCCGATGATCTCAGCAATAGATGCGGTAAGTATTCTACACAGATGCCTACCATTACAGTCTAATCAACACCACTCCCATGTACGCTGCCTCTCAGTCCAGCTCTGTTTCTGGGCTAGCCTTTGCCTGTGGGCTCGGCTCAGACTCTTCATTTCCGAGAGCAAAGTCAGGAGCGCCGTGCTCTCTGGAATATGGCACATCATCAAACGGAAACAGGATTCAGCAAGTAGAGAGTGGGCTGGTGTGTTATGTTGTACCTCAGGGGGGCTGGAGTTCGAAGGGTCGGCAACGTAGTCACGAACAGACGAGTGATAGATGTTTACGGGGAGACTGCTGTCGGTAGGAATGTTCATGACAGACCGTAGCTGAACCAGTACTGTTTCGACATCCCTGCCTTCACTAAGGTCAAGAAGTTCCGAGATTTCTGAGATAGGGAGAGGGTCTGCAAGGGCAGCAACAACGGACAAGTGCCGATACGGCAGTGCTGCCTTGGTACATGTGGCGAGGATATGGTCGTATAACGTGTACACCTCAGTGCCTGGGAGCAGCTCGCTTGTGAACTCGAGCATGAGCTGAAGTCGATCGCGAGGATCATGATATCCGTCATCGATAAACTCCATCATCATAGACGCGACGATGAAACGTCTCCCTGCTCGACTCGCCAGCCGCGCAAGTTCATCCCTCGTTGGCTGCGGGAAAATGGGATATCGACCTTGCAGCTTTCTGAAGGAATGACTCCAGGAAGATATAGATGTCGTTGTCAACGTCTGCGCCGTCTAACGATATGACCGCGGCAACACCCTCCCTTTTCACTGGTATCTCGCACACCAACCGGCGCAACTCTTCTTGTTGAATAGCGTCACGGATGGGCTCTTCCAAACGGCTTGTGAGCAGGATGTGGATAACGGGTAGATCAGGTTCACGAAAAGCTCGGCCTAGGAGGGAGATGAGATCGGGAACCTCGGCTTCGGACATGCACTCGTCAAGAGCATCAACAACGAACGCCAAAGGCGGACATTCGTGCAGTCTGGATCGAAGCTTCCGCAGAGGTCTCAAAAATGGCGCCTCCATCTGGTCGCGAAGAGATTTGTTGGGATTGAGGAGAGCAGGATTTTCGACGATGATTTCTTTTACGTCCTTTTTGACGTTGGGAAAATTACAGGCAAGTTGCTAGGCAACCGTCGCAAAGAAATATCCAGTCGTGCAGCGTTGGGTGTGCTTGCGCGAGAAAAAGAATGTGCCTGCGAACTGCTTCTCTGTATTCGTCTGCTGTCACTTTCAGACATTTAATCCTTTCAGCTACGGTGAACGCGGCAGCAGACTTCCCGCCACCTGCTGTGCCGTGCAGCCAAATGAGTCGACTCTTCTATCGGTTGTCTAGTGATCCGTGGATGTAGTCCAGAAGGTTCACGCGGGTCCCTGCCAGACACTTTGGATGGGGCTGGCGTTCGGGGGAGTCATACTAAGGGCCCTTGACAGCGACCTGGGACAGCCTGTCCCAAGCTCCTTCGAATGATCGAGAATCACTAGAAACTGTGAATGCAAGTCAGCAAGCGAGAGAGGGAATAACACATTGGGGTCTGACATCGATCGTAACTCATCGACTAATGGTGTCGCAAGCTGTGAGATGGAATGGAAAAACTTGGGGATGCACTGGTTGGGTTGAATAGCATAGTTAGCAATCATATTGTGGGTATATCAAGACCCGACGTACCAATATGTGAATCAGGAAAGTTGCAAAAAGCTTAGATCGTGAAATGATTTTTGGCGTAATAAGTGTGTTCGTCGGTGATCGGTGCTATAGAAAACTCGATGGATGGTGGTGAATCGTGATATCGGTTGAAGGATAAGTGGGCGCTCGTCTAGTTGCAAGACACAGCCAGGTGGCATGCGGGAGTTCCGTTCAACACGGACATGGATGATTTCGGTTCGTTAGCCATTCTCCCAAGGAGGGCGTAGGTTCCATCAAAAGGGCCATCTCCGCTGTAGGTCAAAGTGCAGACGCTAAGTACTAGCCTGGGGCCGTAGGGGCTACCGGTGGATCAATGCTGGAGGTTGCCCGATGCGAGCTGTGCGGTGCTGGTGTTGATAATATTGCTCATTCGTTCATGTTCATTAATGTGGTATCACTGAATCCTGATTCTTGCAAGCATCACCCAGCACTTCGAACGAGAGTTGTGTTTCGGCATTCGAGGAAGGAAACAACTTTCAGCGGAGGTAATCGGACTCTATGCTGACTGGGTTTGAATTTGGGTAGCTTGTCTCATCAATAGTCTACAGACTTTCAGTGTGGTCCTTCATTGTAAACTACGCTTGGCGAACCAGCCACCTTGTGGCAGCCGCGATGCTAAGACAATCTAAAGGTGCTTCACGAACTTCGACAACAGGTGCCTCAGGATTTTAACGTGCAGTAACTGCTCCAGGATTTCAAGCTGGAATCTAATAACAGTCTCCAATATTGGTACAACTTCACCGCTCCCTCACACCCATCTTCTAACTATGACCTCTCAAAAAATCCCAGTTGGTGGCCGTCCGTTAGTTCATATCGTATTGACAGCTATTTTGTAGGTTCGTGGAGAGCCAACCAGATGCTGATGATGTGTCCTGAATCTAACCTTGGCTACGGATTTCGCAGGTTGCTTCCTCTGCTGCGGTGATGTACGACATTCGGAAAAGAGGTAGGTTGGTGCGATTATCGGAGCAGCCAGTCTCGCCGAGAAAGTTTTTGCAGGTCCAGTTGGTCTGGGTGAGCAGAGATGAATTTCAATAAATTCGCTACAGAGGCAACGCGGGTTCCCTCAGTGACTTTTATCTGTCTCAGGTGTATGTAGCTTGCGTTATAAGTGTGCTTGATAAGTCATGCTGACTCGAAACATCCTAGGTGCGCTATCTTGGGCTATTATATACCGTGTATGTTTAGAAGGCTATCAGTTGGCGTTGTGCTAAAATGCCCCACAAGTGCGAGATATGGTGATTTTCAGGGTCCTGACTACTCTTGGCTGGATGCATATGACATCATGCAACATCGTCCCAGAAAAAATCAGATCTGTGTAGGGGAGATAATCACGAATCCGCCGCTTCCTGAAACAACAGCAAGCACGGTGCTACATGGTATTCACAGAGCGTCAGTCCCCGACTTTCGGATCTGGCCCATGGGTCAAGCCCCGTAGCTAATCGGTGACGCGACCGCGTACCGGACGCAAGCAAATCGCAGCCTCTCATTGCGACGACCACGGCACATTTCGCATAATTCTTAACGCATGACCAGAATGATCTCACCGAAATTTAGCACCGCAATAATGTTCAGCCGCCATGATTGTTGACGCAGCCCAAAAGTAACGAGAACAATATTGTGGTGAGTCCTGACAAGCCCGTCTAGTACGACAGTATGAGATAAGAAAGACCTGACGCTCTAGTACACACCCTACCCTGCAATCCTATTCTGGGTCTCAAATAGAGAACCGCCCTGGGAGTTCTGGGCTGTGCATAGAGGCAGCGATACTGATTAGAGTCGATGACCACTCTCCACTTTTGCTTCGTCTGAAATAGGCGGCGACGGTCAAGAAGAATAGGAAAATGAACATGGTATTCATGCCAAAGCTCTGACTTTAACAGAGCCGTCTTCAAAGGAGAAGGCGTCTGAGGTGATCTCAGTCTATTCTTCAAAGGTTCCATCGTGTCGCTTGCCCGATGTGCAACACAAATCCGGTGAACCAGGGTGCTGGTACCGGCGGAGACCCGATATAGTCATCACAACCGACCGTTTATGCCCGTCTGAAAATCGAGTTATTTCCGATGTTCAAGTTAGTCTAAGCAGCCAATAGATCCGCCGACCCTGTGGTTCTGCCTGTACTCGAGTCCCCCTGAAGTTTCCCCGAAGTCCGCCAAGCACGACCATGCTGATGAAACTGCCGAGTATCTCCCAAAAAACACTATCTCTTAGATATAAAAAAGGCAAGCCATCCTCCTACTGTCAGTATCAGAACTATTATTCGAGATCCCCCTCGGCGCATCCCATATTACCTAGCACAAGCCATGCATTTCTCATTCCTCCTCGCCGTTGCTGCTGCTTTGATAACATCTATCACTGTCAGTGCTGAGTCTGCTGGCTCACCTTACTGGGATTGCCTGGATAAAAACTTCGTTTGCGACAACAGCAACTCATTTGGCTGTTGCTGGGGTCTTACTTGTAAGACGGGTGTGAGTATGAGTTGTCCGTTTTGCATTCGAGATTCGACTCACCCTTTGCGCCTTGTACCAATAGCCTCTCATGGAAGACTACAAGTACTGCCAAAAGTAATTCTTTCCTGACGAGCTTAGCAGGCTGAGCATGTCGCGACAGTGAGTCGTGGTTATGTTTTCGCGTTGGTACAGTGGTTGATCGCACGATATGCAGATCGTCGCGGAGTTGATAAATGCACTTACTTCTGTACAAAATTAATATCCCTGCTGCCTCGATCAGACTCTTGAATAACATTAGCATGAATTCTGTGGCATTGACACAAGACGGTCATGTTACTCGCCTTGCATCCGTCTTTGCATGAATGCGCGAGAAAACCAGTTTATTCAGCCAAAATCGATTCTCGAAGTACGTGTACGTGCATGTCTTTGAAGATCGTTCAGAAAGAAGAAGGGGCTAGTGTCGAGGACACTCAGCTTCGCCATTGTGTCCTCCGACGTCCATGGTGCACCGGGCATGCGGCGGGCATGACCGGCCATGATCTAAACAACATCAGCGAGTCAGCAGCCCATCCACATAAACTAAATCAAAGTAAAAACAAGTCCATCGTTGCACGAACAATAACATCGTCTCAATAAAAGCAAAACAATCAACCTATTACTATCATTGTGCAGGTGCAGGTACTTGCACTAAAATTTCGGGAGTTGAATTCTTAGGACAAAGTAAGTACTAGTATCCCACGTGGATGGAGTCATCTCAGTCGTGCTTTGGGTGTCTATTCCACCGCATAGCTAAGTGGTGCAGCTGTGCTGGAGTCAAAATATACAGGTTCACTCGAAAACCATGCCAAAAGAACAGTGCATACGTTTGATGAGGAATTGAACATCGATGAACATTGAAGTAAGATTCAAGGGTGCACAGAGGATGATTTTGAAAGATGTGCTGAAGACTCGAAGAGCAATGGGTTTGTGCTGAAGTTGTGGTGATAAGGTACAAGCAGACGCGAATAGGGCTGTTCGCCGTACGCTGTACGACGGGAGTTTATTGGGCCGTAATATGGCCACGATACCCATACCGTTGGCTGTTTAGGCCTTGAGTTGACGGTACGGGGGTACGGGCATAAAGGTCCCGTATGTTGCCGTATTTGTACGGCCTACAGGCGATCTATAAATAAATAGACTTAGCTTGATAGCCTTATGTCTTATTTCGCAACAAGTCGTTCTGGACCTGATCCTCACACTATGGCGCAGTATTGCCAACAACAGTACTATTTGTCAATCCGTGGGTGCTAAAACGACATAGGGTTGTGCACACGTAAGTCGTCGGATCTCGTTCATGTTGCTGTTCGATGATTTTTTTTCGTACAGATTGTAATGTCTCGTCATGACACCATTGTTTGTGATCGTCCAGACAAGAAGTGATTTGCATCTCTTATACCATGCTAACCTTTCATTCCGTACTCCGTTTACCTCCACCAGCGCCACGCAAGAAACGGTCGCACCTAATCATAGCAACTCACCGATATGCTTTTGCATGAATGTGTTCCGGCCTCCGGTCATTAATCATCGGTCACGTCTTCCTGCACACTCTTCCTGTCCCGCAACGAACCGCGACCAACACTTGGCATAAATCGGCTCTCAAATCTGGGAGAATCGTGCTGGGAGTTTCCAGCCGTGCATAACGACAACGAAATCGATGAGAGTCGACGTCCATTCTCCACCTTGGCCTGCCCTGGACTAAACGACGATGGTTAAGGAGATTAGGAACCGAGCGGTCTTCAAAGGAGCAACGTCCGAGGTCATCGCAGCCTGTTCTTCGAAAAATTCCGTTACACCGCTTGTCCGTGTGCAACACAAATCCGCTGAGCCGGGGGTGCTGATAACGGCGGAGATATTGGTTGGCCTAAGCAGACAAAGTAGAAGGAATATAGTCGTTCTGTCTCTATATGATACAAGGTGCATCTCCATCACTACTTACTAGGTTGTGTTGGAGTTCATATGTTTGCACTTCACGTGTTCTGGATTGTTTTTTTTATTATACGGTAATTTCAATTACTGACCATTGTCTGGATTGTTTATCCGCCGACCCTGTGGTTCTGCCTATACTGGAGTCTCCCTGAAGTCCGCCAGGAGTATCATATGTTTGGTATAATTCGCCATATGTTTGATACCATGCTGATGAAACTGCTGAGTACTTCGCAAAAAAAAACTTTTCTTTCTTTCTAGTATATAAAGGAAGCCGTCTTCCTACTACCAGTATCATAACTATTATTCGAGATCCCCCTTGGCGCATCCCATATTACCTAGTACAAGCCATGCGTTTCTCATTCCTCCTCGCTGTTGTCGCTGCTCTGACAACATCTATCTCTGTCAGTGCTGACACTTCTGAGTCGACTTCCTACTGGAATTGCCTGCCTAAAGACTGGGTTTGTAACCACGACGGCAACGGAAGGGACTGCTGCTGGGGTCTTACTTGTAAGCCGGATGTGAGTATGAGTTGTCTGCTTTGTATCCGGGATTAAACCCCATAACTCACCCTTTGTGCCTTGTATAAATAGCTTCTCTTAGAAACGGAATTACACGCCACGTCCTGCCAGTAAGCCTCTCCTCATGAGCTTGGTAGACTGAGTATGTCGCGACAGTGAGTTGTTTTTACGTTTTTGCATTGGTACAGTGGTTGATCGTATGATATGCAGGTCGTTGCAGAGTTGATCAATATGCTTCCTTCGTGACCGTACAAATATCCCTGCTGCCTTCACCAGATTCTTGAATAACATTAGCATGAATTCTGTGGCATTGACAAAAGACATTCATGTTACTTGACTTGCGTACGTTTTTGCATGAATGCAATAGAAAATCGGTGTATTGAGCGCGAATAAATAAATCTCAAACACGATACTGATATGTACATGACATGTATAACCTCATTTTCTTCCTACCTTCGGCACTGATTTATTATCATTTTGCTAACTCACTGGCATTCTCTATCTTCTCACTCGGCATCGTTTGTTTCGTGACAGTAAGCCCAGAGGCTGATGGCGAACGTTCATTAGGCAGCGGTTTGGCTTGCCCTATTTCGACGATGGCAATTTACGCGGTATGCAAATAACAGACATGTGCCACGGAAAGCAATACCACTCAGCAGTTGGACCATCAGGGAGAAAAAATTGCAATCTGCAACCACAGTAAAAAAACGACAACTACAATGGCAGGGCACGAAGGTATGGCATCAACTGCAGGACAACTGCTATATCTAGAACTGATGTCTTCGAGGCTGGTTCTGTAATATGGGGGCAAGAGCTCTAAAAGACTGAATATGCCTGTCGACCTCCTACCAGACCTGAGGGGACTCGTAGAATGCTGAGGTAACTTTGTCCACTAAAGGGAGCGTGGATGAATGATGCAAGCGACAGCTTCCACATCCACTACGGAAGAGGAAGTCAAGTCTAATTTCCGTAAAGAGGTATGTTGGGATGACTTGGCTGTATGATCAATGTCAGTGTTCATAGCATCCATTAATAGGCGCAGGGTATGCAAGTGAGGACATAGAAGAAACGCTGCGAATAATCCACAGAATGTTATGGTAGGTATAGCAAGATGTCGTTTACCCGTTAAATCTAGATTTGGATGTGCGGCCAACTTGACATGGCTTCCAGGAGAATGTCGTTGTCAAGATATATGGGGAAATTATGGAGATGGACCCGCAGGGTTCGCAGCTGCGCGAAGCAAAGGAATTGTCTGACTACCGTCAAAGAGTTGACTGTGGGATCGTTGATGTAATCAAAGGATAGGATGGTGTCGAACTCTTTTAGGGATAGGAATTCTGAGTGTTCCATGATTGTGATCATATATGCCGCAGATTATACCTCGAAACAAAGATCCGTGATATTCGCGAAACCTGTGAAACTGAGATTGTGCTGGCCCAACGGGAAAAGTGGGTCGTCTCCGTGCTCGCTGATACACACTTTGAGAAGGGTGAGGAGGTTAGAGAGGTGGCTCCATGCTGCCCATTCAAGCGGCAGACAACACAGATGTTTGAGCCGCTTGCATGAACGGGCAGTTTCCGCTAGAATTGACGGCTCGTTTGGTGTATTCTCGTATTCGGGCACGACGGATAATTCCTCCGAAGCAGCGCAACGGGGCATGATAGATATTATATCTGAATAAAGAGCCGACACTGACAAACGGCGCAGCGTAGGGGACAACAAGTATCTGCAATCCGAATGCCCAGTTTCACAGGTTAATGACAGCAATCTCGGGTACATGCCTGTCTTAGCGAAAAGGACTGAGGGAAGGTGAACAGGGCATTCAAATGATATTCGCAGTGAGCGCACACGGGCGGCATGATGCAAAAACTGACGGGCTTCGTGCTCAGATAATGGTTCGACTCCTTTCCAAGAAATCCAGTACCACGGCGACTACATGCTCGATGAGCTAATGAACAAACTGAAAGGAAGCATGACTGACCTCAAGTGTCTTGTATTGATCATAATATATGATTGGATACAGCCTGGTCACGCAACCTAACAGTGGTAGCATTGTCTCCACGTTAGCCCAAAGCAAATCCATTGCAGGTTCATGGAAGGTTTTGCATGTACATACTTGCAAGCGCTGCAAGGGCATTTCGCGATGATATTGTCAACCTCCGAGTCCTGTTCCTATATGTTACTTGATTCGAATGCGAGAATATCTCTAGGAAGACTTCGGAGACAAGTAGAGCACGATCGATGCATCAGTTCTATGACGATAGCGATGAGGGAAATGAGGAACTAATAGATTCAGAAAAGGTATCACAGGCTTTTCACCAGATCCATGTATCCAACCGGTTGACGTTCCCCGACTCTACGAAGTAGGGAGGGTTCTGTCAGCTCCAAACGGCCAGGCACCTGTATGCAAATGTGCGCGTGAACTTATTTCCTAATTCACGACCTCACAACGGACGACTATTTTCATGTGCGCGTGAAAAGTGAAACTTTTTCTGAAAATGGGCCAGAAGCCTAGATTCGCTCACCCAGGACAAGGAATCTGAGACATGATAGCAAGGAGACCATAGTGTGCAAGGATGAAGGAATATGGCAAAGGGAGAATCGAAAACCGGCGCCCTTCATAATTACAATTCAGTGTCGGCCGAGTCGGGGATTGGCGCTCGCGCCGCTACGATATTCTATTACTATATTATAATGAGTCCTGGGGCCTGATCGATCATCGATGATCTCCGACCGTGCGCAACTTCCACCGCCTACTCCTACGAGAAAATGAACCATCGACACCTTTTATGGATGCCGGCGGCACATAACGTGACGTGTCGGAAGGGAGCTGTCTGTTTTAGGCTGGTGAATGATGCTGGAGTTTACGGGAAGCGCTGAACGAGTCAGTCATGACACGGACTCACCATTCAATATTATCAGCCAAGAGGGTAACTGCGATGCTATTTAGTCCCGCCGGTGTGACATCTGGGTTTGACGCTGAGGGCCTCGATGAGCAAATTTCAAAATTCCTGGAGGACTAAGTACCTTTCGGTTGGTCTCTGTTGATGGTCCATGGGTAAGTGGGCTGCTTCAACTTTGCACGATTAACAATCGTTGACACAACTTTGACCGTTCTAGGTGCGAAGCACGAGCACCCAAGAACTGACCCAGGAAGAGAGCCGGGGCATGGCGTGCTCGGCATTTACCGCACCTGAGCCAAATCATAAACCGCAAGCACCATATTCCGCCATCTACCTAGTGCAACCTCTGGGCTTTGAGGAGGAGAGAGAGATACATGCACACTACGCAAGTACTTGTTTCTCTTCCTCGTCAACTGCTAGTAGTCTCCCTCTCACCGGTGACCGCATCCTCTAACGCTCGAAATTTCTGGTGTCTCGCTCGCATCCATTTTCTCACCCGGGGTCCACACTACCTCATGTCAACTAATTAAGTCGTTCAACAGCCTGCCAGTCGATATATCAACCCAGCGCCGGTAATATAAACAATGTACGAACCAGGCTAGTGTTCAGCAGCCCAACGACTGCTGAGTAGCCCCACATTACCTGCACTACCATAGAAGAAGCTGGAGACGGAATCAGATGGTACGATTCCCTTGGAAATTGGAATACACAAATTTGAGGTGTTGAGATGTTTGACGCGCCACTCGCCTTGCCTGCGTGTATGATCACAAGCCTATCAATTCTGGAGCGCTGATGCGAGGGAGATTAGGGATGAAGCTAGCAAGAAGTTGTACTAGGTGAGTAGGACAGGAATTATACACGGAGCTACGTGAAGTGCCCCATGGGACATGACGACATGCTGATTTTAAACATGTTACATCAGATATCAAATGAATATGGGCCAGCGAGACGTACTGCTGATGATCATCGAAATCTGAGCCTGTAGGCTTTTGTGATGATCGCATCGCGCTGCGGCCTGTGTGAGATTGATGGACTGCTGATGGCACTTGCCCTACATACTTGACTTCACGCGACAATCTTTACGTTGGTCAGCCAAGGCAGGAACGGGTGTCATTCCTGTGGCTCTCATTTCGGTCACAATAGCCCTGGTCGTATGTCCACCAACTTCACCGTTCCCTCACATCCATCTTCTAGCAGTATGACACTAGTCTCAAATAATCCAACTTGGTGGCCGGTCATCAATGCAAGTTGTGTTAGCAGCTATTTTATAGGTTCGTGGAGTGCCTACTGAATGATGACGGTGACGTGTCGATCTAACCTTGGCTGCGGTTTCGCAGTTGCCGCCTCTGCTGGGGTGATGTATGATTGGGGTGAACAAGATAGTGTTGAAGAACCGCTGATATCCTTATGATATTTCCAGTGCTGACGTTCGGACAAGAGGTAGAGTTGATGTGATTACCGGAGCAGTGGTCTCGCTGAGAAAGGTTTTACAGGTCGAACTGGTATGGGTGAGCAGAGTCGCACATCGGAAGAATAATGTGAAAACATAATTAATTTGCGACAGAGGCAACGCTGGTCCCTGATGACCGTCCTGTATCTCAGTGTGTGTAACTCGCGTTATAGGTGTGATTGGCAAATTGTGCTGACTTGAACATATCTTAGGTGCGCTACCATGTAATATTATATGCTATGGATGTTTGGAGGACTGAGCGGTTGGTGTTATGCTAATCAGCTAACTCTCACAATCAGCATCGAGATTCTCCGTATGTTCCCTTACATACATTGGAGTGGTCTTTTCTGACTGACAGCATATAATATGGGTTCCCTCAATCTCGTGACAGATGTAGTGAGTTTTATGTACTTATGCCTGAGACCATACCTCTTCTATAGCTCCATTACGACTCTCTTCAAGAGCCACTCCGTATATGTTGGATCAGATAGGACGACGGGAACCTTCACCTGACTAATCGAGACGTTCGTCTTGTCGCTTCTCTGCCTGCGATATTCTGAGAAGGTACCTTTCTCCACGAGCCGAATGGTTGGCTTTCTTGACCTGCCTTGCCAAAAAGCAAGGCGATATTCATGGTTTGCGGACATGAGGTCTTCAAAAGCCTGCTGTGCCACCATTCTCGCGTCCTTTCCTGTGGATATTAATTAGTGCAGTCTTGTGAAAGAGTTCTGAGGCATGTACGAACCTATTTCTCCCACAATTTCTACCAAGTACCCATATGTAATAGGCATCTCTCGCTCGTCGCCCACGACAGTGAAGTCTATGGATTTGGATGCATTGTTCAGCAGCAGAAACGATCGCATTCGTCAATTGCGACTCTGTACACGTTGTTCCAAATGCCAGTCCAAGTGAGCCACTTGGTATTTTAGCCACTAAGTCTAAAATCGATGACATTGCAACTCACTCTCGCCTGTGAAGGTAATTGATAATAGGCAATCCATCATCTGGTGCAAAGCCTTTAATGACGACGACATCACCAAGACGGTACCTCCATAAGCCATGGCGGGTCGTCAAGACTGGCTCGTAATGATCTCCAGTTGCAAGCTCCCACTAAAGGCAGGGGTGAGTAGACAAAGGTGAGATCTAGCCAATGGTTCTTACAGCGGATAATACACGCTCCGAAGGTTCTTCGGAATGAACGTCCAGAAACTCGGTAACCCCATCTGCAAATAATATCTTTAAGTCGGTATTTGGGTTGCCTTTCTGGTATGGTTCGGCGATGCCGCATTCTGAACTGCCATACCCAGTAGATTGTATGTGTACAGAAGGCCCAAGGACATGGGTAACCTTGCAAGTCAAATTGTTAACTGTCATCTGGGTGGCAAGCATTGTATCCTTGACTTGCCTTTG